CACACACACACACTCACACAAACATACAATTAACAATAACAAAAGTGAAACTTTTTTTCTGTTTTCAGGCGGACAGACTGTCTCACGAGCAAATCGCTGGTAAGACGTCTACTACCACTTAAACTTATCTTTTGTTTTTCAATTTTTAGCGCGCTTCCATCTCAGAAACATGTCTAATACATTGGCCCCTTCACTTGTTCGGATTTTTGCTTGTGTGTTGTATTCGCAGATTCACTGCTATTCTTTGTTCACATATCTATGCACCTCTTATAAGGACGTTTAGTTTCATCATGCAGGCCCTTTGTACACAAGCTTGAATACAATCAGGGCAGACTGCTCAGTTGTTCGTACATCAAGGTAACATTAGTTTTATATTGGTACAATTCCTTTAGCTTCTTTCTTTTCTCTCAATTACTACTTTATTTACAGTACTTAGTTAGAAAGATGGATAGAAAGATAGATGGATAGATAGATCGATAGATCGAAATATAGATAGACAGACATGTTGACTTGATAAAGCGTCCAGTCTTCGAAAAGACCCGAAGGCTCTTACATAGAGAATGAGAAACGAAGTTTGTTACGATCGCTTTTTTCTTTCAAGTGTGTCTACACTGAAGGTCGGAAAGTCACCGATGGTGTTTGTCCAGCTTTAGGGCCTTGACAGACGAGATGTAAAAATCGCAGCAGTAGTTAAAGCGCAATCTGGTGGTGCATGCACTGTGGGCAATGGGTACGGTCACTCGAGCGACACGCGATGTTTTCAGTCCTGGCGTAGCAGACGTCTGTCGCCCAATTTCTGCTGTGCCGCGACACACCATTGTTTTAGTGAAGCACACAGTTCAATGGATGCGGACACACGAGATGTATTGATACTACAATACTGTGTTTTTTTATCGCTTCTCATTCAACACGACAATATTTACAATGCCACCGTCTCTTCTTATCACGAAACAGAGCGTTTAATTTTGGAATAAAAGAGTAGAAACATCATTTGGGACAACACAAATGAGGAAAAAATTTTTTTTTTAACAATGTCAATTCTTCAAATGAGGTTTTCTGGATACGAAAGTAATTGAAGAATTTGGACTCATCTTCTTGAAGCTCTTCATATAAGGTGTAAAACTGTCTTCGTATAGTATAGTATGGGGTTTTACGGCGCTCGCAACTGCATAAGGTCATATGAGCGTGCCCAAAAACTGTCTTCTTAGTAATCTGTGAGAAACAATGGGATTATCACAAATTCTTTTTTGTCGCTTTCTTTTTTTTTAAAGATTCTTCTCAACACCATGACCAAAGTCACCCTGACTCTCTGATCGTCCATGTTGAACTGAGCAGTAGCGTAAAATGTCGCCCAGTGGGGCTGCCACACAAAGTAAGCGACTCTTTCTGCGCAGAAGTTTCTTACAGATAAATTCTTTTTTTTTATAACTGTGTCAATAGTATCAGTGTTTGAGGAGCATGAAATCACACATATCTTAATCATTGCACATTTAGCACCATTTTGTATGCTTTGAAAGTTCCTGCCAAAGAGAGGGAAAAATTATGCTGTAGTCGGAAACATTCTCAAAAGGAGTACTGCACTACTCTTTTTTTTTTCTTTTTTAATTGCCATGGTCATAATTGAGTTGGGTTTTTTTTTAATTTAAAAAGTTTCTTTAAATTATTTTTTAATAAGTTTTTTACAAAAATCATAATTGAGGGAGTTCTTTTGTTTAAATGTACCTTTGATATAACACAACATTTTTATCCAGAGTTCAAAGAGGCGTTCAGCCTGTTCGACAAAAGTGGCGACGGCACCATCACCACCAAAGAGCTGGACATTGTCCTTAGATCCCTGGGACAGAATCCCACAGAGGGCGAGCTACGGCACATGATCAACGAGGTGGACCAGGACGGTGAGCTAATGTCTTTGCAAACCCGTTCTTTGAGAGATCACACATCGTATCTTCAAAGTAGTGGCGTTCTTTTGAGGAACTCAACCCCCCCCCCTCCCCCACCACAAAATCCACTAAGGGTGGGGGGAATGACAAATATACACAATATGAACAGAGTCTACCTCTCTAGTGATAGAACAACATTAGCTGGCTTCTGGTGCTCTACACAAGGTGTTCGTTACCATGGATGGGGGTCTCACGAACTTCCTATTTGGCTCGGTTCTTTTTGGGAGATGGACGTTAATCTCGGAGGCCCCGCCTATTAAATGACCTAATAATGTTGATGGGGGCGTTAAACCTATACCATTTCACATTTCACCTTGTTGGGGGAAAACAACTTACCCCTCAAGACAAAGCACCATTTTTAAATACTATTTCTTGAAGCTGCGGTTTGTTGAAAACTGTTTGTGGTGGTCATGTGTGCATACTGCGCTCGTTGAAAACATATTAGCAGCCAAAAACATAAAGGAGAAGCCGTTATCAAGAAAACTTGGAGCGTGATTTTTTTTATAGCAATTGTATCAGCTCAAAAGTTCGAGATAAGCTTCGTGGGGGCTATACTGTTTTTTCTTAACATAAGTTAGGTGAATTAAGTTCTTAATAGCATGTATGGTGTATACGTAGAAATAATTTATTCTGTTGAAAAATAATTTACTCTGTAGAGGAATATGCAATACACTCCAGTGAGATCTATCAGGAGAGGAGGAGGAGAAGGAAGGAAGGAAAAAAAAAAGAAGAAGAAGAAGAAGAAGAAGAAGAAGAAGAAGAAGAAGAAGAAGAAGAA